TCAGTGGAACCAGAGGAAAGGAAAACCGGAGCTGGTCAAAGGCTTTCCTGGTCTTCACTCAAGATCGGGTTCCCACTTCACATCCTCATTGAACTTGTCTGCTACGAGCCCAACTCATGGATTTCCTTCTGGGTAGAGTGGGGTCGGGAACCAGGGCGTGAGCAAACCATTCTTTGGCTTTGGCCCAGAGGTCAAGAGGAGGGACAGGAAGCCGAGGAGAGCTGGACGATCGCTTCTCCTCTCGTGGAGGGAATAGACAATATGAGGAGGGCCTGGCAGGGCGGCAGCCCCTGGGATGTGTGATTGAACCAGCCTGCGTGGAACGTCAGCTAACTTTGCAGAGAATTTTAGCGTGGATTTTCTTCCTCTCCATCTCAGTCCTGCTGCCCGAAGGTGATACCTAAAGTAGAGCAGAATTTCACAGAGCATATTCTGTGAATAGGTGGTACACATACACAGTTTTCAAGGTCAGAGAAGTTTGAGAGGGCTTCCCTGGTGGCGCAGTGGTTGAGAGTCCACCTGCCGATACGGGGGGGCGCGGGTTCGTGCCCCGGTCCGGGAAGATCCCACATGCTGCGGAGCGGCTGGGCCCGTGAGCCATGGCCGCTGAGCCTGCGCGTCCGGAGCCTGTGCTCCGCAACGGGAGAGGCCACAACAGTGAGAGGCCCTCGTACTGCAAAAAAAAAAAAAAAAAGAAGTTTGAGAAATCCTGAGTGTAAACCAGAGAGAAAGAGGTTCTTTGTTGCAGGACTTCTCAGAGCCTTTATGCACTAGAATGTGGATTGGTAAAACTACAAGAAGTAGATATGCTGTGCAGTGGCTCTGGGAACCCCCCAAGAAATGCTGGACTAAAACAAGCACTTTCATTTGCCTGCTCCCGACTGTGAGTAAAGGAGTGGAGTCTATAATAAAAGTTTCAGTTGAATTTTCACACTAAGTACTAGGTTCTGGTGATTATATAGATACTAGCGTTCCAAGCAGAATTTTGCCAGGTGGGTAGACAGTTCAACTCCAGATTCAGTGTTTGCCCCTTGTCCTTCCAAGGCAGCCGAGAGGTTCTCAGACAGGAATGAGATCCAGGAGGTGTATATTTTCTCAGGTTCCTACATGATGCTGGTATGTCCCCCTGGTTAAACAGCACTGGTGTTGTGGGAAAAGCTAGCTTTTGGAGACAGATGTAGATGATTCCAGCTCTGTCACTTATCAGCAAAGGGGTCTTGGGAAAAAAATCACCTTATGTTTCAGTATTACCATTTATAAAATGAGGGGATTGGTCAAGATGAGTGATTTAAAAAATATTTATGCAGTGGAATTCTCTATTCAAATTCAATTTTATGTGGAATTCTAATGCACAGAACAGAGGCAAGATGGACTGTTCTGGTGAAAGTGATGGAGGAGCCCAGGGCCTGACACCCTTGCCTGTCCCCTCACCCCCAGTCTTGGCCTGGGTTCCCTAGAAAGCAGAGCCCAAGGCAAAAGCTGTTGTGGTAGCACTTTGTTGAGGGATGGAATCCCAGGGCAGCAAGACTGAAGGAAGGAGGAAGGAGAGGGAGGGAAGGAATGCACAAAGAATGATGTATTACCAAGCTAGCCACAGCTTCCTGAGGAAACACAGCTGGTGGCTCAGGTGCTCAGGACGTACCGGGAGAAGCCTGATGGGAACACGGTCTCAGAAAAGTCTGGAGGACGGGTACGGCCGGCATCCATCCTCCTGCTGGGTTCTTCCTGCTGCAGCTCCCTGGGCACCTTTTACCCCACGAGGCAGAAACTCTCCCGCCCCTTGGGGTCGTGATGCCAGGTCAAACTAGAGCCTATGGGGTCAGGCCCGGGGGCTGGGGCTTCCGTGGGGCTCCCCCCGAGTGGGCCTGAAGGTGTTGCCCCTGCAGGACCCTGACCTTTGCCCCTGAAGGAAGAAAGGGAGCAGGAGCTTTAGGAGCAGAGGAATGAATGGGGTGCGATGTCACAGGGGCCGCTCCAGCTGGGAGCAGGGCAGAGGGTTGAAGCCCAGAATTGGGGGTGGGGTGGGTTGTTTGGTGGGGTTGATGATCTGGGCAGGTACGTAAATTGAGGGTCTGTGATAATGGGTTCCATATAAGGAAGATATGGTTCTTCAGAACAGAGTCAGCGAACCACAGCAGGCTGCTCCAGTAAGGCCTCATTCAGCCCCCAGCATTCATGACTCTGGCCAAAGTAGCCAACTACACTATGGCTTGCCCAATTTAAACCCCAGAGGAACCACGTGAAGAATGCGTTCCAGCCAGGTTTCCTATCTCGTAGGGCTCATTGACCAAAGGCATGCCTTCCACGTGGTGGTATGTGAACATCTCAGACACTTCTGTTTGTGATGGCAGAGGGGCACAGCTGCTGGGAAGCTGGGGACAGATGCAAATGACCTTTGCCCCCTTCCAGTTTTAAAAAATATTGTAAGCGTTGAAATACAAGGCAACAGGGGACATTTCTGCATAAAATATTTCCCATAGGTCATCGCCTGGAGTCAGCGCCCCTCCTTTTTTTTTTTTTTAAAACAACTCTTGTACTTTGAAGCTCCTCTAGGGTCAGGTGGGGCAAAGGACCGATGGTCCCACTCTGCTTGTGACCCCTTTCCCTGCTCTCTTTGTCATTAGATACTGACCCCTGTCTTCTTCCCCTAAATGCACTTGCCCTTAACTGGTGATTGTTGCCAGCAACCCGCTGACTTTGAGACGTGTCTGCGTTAGCAGGGCTGCCTAAGGCTCCCTGCTCCCAGAGGGTCAGGGACCAGCCCCTGCTTGAAGCAGTCTGTTGTGTAATCAGGAACTTAATTCATACTTTTAATGGTGCTAAAGAAGCTGCTGCTGGCCATGATGCCAACAGCATTGAAATTACTTATTATTTGTGTCTTTAGACGACAGGGACCGTTTCTCCCTTCTCTTGTATGCTTGGTACCCAGCGTAGGGCCTGTCTTACTGGAAGCACTCAGTAAATATTTGCTGAGTAAAAAGAATGAATGAGTGGAGGAGAAGGAGAGATGAACAGTCTGTAAAGGATAAAACTAGGAAAGAGTGAACCAGCTCTCTGGCAGGGGCTGGCTTGGAACCACATCAAGGCTGTGGCTGTTGCAGAGGATTAAGAAGAACCAAGACAAGCGCAGGCTGAACCCGTCAATCACCCTAGAGTATCCTGGGTGATGGTGGTTTGGGGGCAGGTAGGGGCCGTGGTCTCTTCATGCTGATGCACGCGGAAATGAATTCTTGCTCTTCATGTTAAACTCCCTATGGGTTTAGATGCAGATAGATTGGGAGGGATGACCAAACTGCATTTCCCAGAGCATCCCAAAGACGAGCCCCCCCCACCCCCCCACAGAAAAGGCATTTGTGGCTAAGTAAGTCTTGCAAACACTTTATGCTGTGTCCTCCTTTGGAGACTCAAGATGCACATTAAAGGCAAAGATGTTTGGCTACAGAGAATCCTGGTTAATTATTTTTAGCAAACCATTTTTTTCAGTGGAGGGATCCCTTTGCGTGGGTGTATTTAAACCTGTTGACATTTCTTGGAACAAGTGTTCCCCAGAAAGCATTTTAGGAGATGCTGGCCTTCATCTGGAAGCTTTCAGGTTTGAATGTAGTTTGGAGGAGAAAAAAACAGGAGAACAAATGTACTGTGCTCTTAAAATAGGGACTGGTGAGGTGCAGCTTCCAGAGGAGCTCAGCTTCCTCTTGTCCTTGTCATTTGCTTTTGGGAATCTCAGAAATGGCTGTGAATTGCTATGAGATGTTGGCGACCCTGGTGCCTTCAGATGTGTATTTTCTAAAGGGACCATTTTAAGGCGTGTGATTGCAGTTCTGACAGGTTTGTGGAAACGTTTCCAACAAGTATAGCACTTTTCGGTTGCACGTAATAGATCAAGATGGATGTTTGCAAGATACGTGAGTAATGACATTCACCTTCTCAATATATTTTTTTCAGCTACACTTATTGAATAAGAGACTTCAGTGTAACTGGCAAAGATAAATGTTCTGAATTAACAAAAAAGGCGTGAGTTATTAAGATACAGCTCCCCAAATTTTGGATGGTTTAAACAAATTTTCTCGCAGGGAAGAAACTTTGCTACCCTAGAAAGGTCAAACGTTTCTAATTAGACTGTAAATTCATGGTTTCTACCATTGGGTAGTGATCCAGAGAGCAAAGCTAGGCATTTCCCATGGGAAGCTTTTCACTGCTGGGTGTTCCTCTTACCTAGGTAATGATGTGTGTGGGCATGCATGTGTGTGTGTGTGTGTGTGTGTGTGTGTGTGTGTGTGTTGTGTGTGTGTTGTGTGTGTGTGTGAGCTGGGGTGGGGTATCACCCCCATAGTACTTGGATTTGGATCACCTGGGGACCCACGTGCCCAATTATAGAGCCTCACCATGCTTTGCCCAAGCCCTGTGTTCCTTTTCCAAAATGAATAACAGTTGCTAACACACACTTACTAACAAAATTCCCCTGACGCCCATTCATAAAGCATAGCACTGGTGATTCTAGCAGCATTAAACTGTTTGGCGACTGAGTTTAGAATTATAGGAATCAGAGACATGAATTAGCAGTAAATCAAGTCCCAGCTGAGTTTGAACCCAACTGCAGTGAGTTTTAAATTTAAAATATCTTGCTATGATGAAGCAGTTGTAAGTCAAGCACTGGAGCTCTGTCACTCTTGACTCTGGAGGAGTGTAGCAGTCACCCTTTGAAAGGAAGACCCTGACAACAGCTTGTATTGGTTCCCAGGCATGCTGGGAAATTGCCACTTCATTTCTTCTTCATAAACTGTTGGCTTTCATTAAAAAAAAAAAAAGAATCCTATTTGCGGGGACACAGGAGAACTCTGGGAACAGGGCAGGTGGGAGAGGGCTCAGGCCCAGGGGGGATCATTGACAGCCTTCTCTTTGGTCCTTCTCAGGAGGAGTCATACAGAAGGGGAATCTGGGTCTGCACGTGCCGTGTGGTTTGTTTTCCTTATCGGACCATATTTGATTCTTCTTTCCAGGGGATCTGTACAGAAAAACAACAAAGAGAACACTTCAAGAAGGCTGCAGCACTGTCATGTTGCAGTGACAATTGCGGTGTAATAGGAAATCATTTATGTAAGTTATGGTGCCCTCTGAGTGGAGCTTGTCAGAAATGTGGCAACAGTTTCTTGAGGCTTATTTTTTTCTCTCCTGCAAAATAATCCTGAGGTTTTCATTTTCGGAGCAATTGAAGAAGTATTATGTGCTGGCCAGGGAATCGGGAGACCCAGCTTCTAATCCTAGGTTTGCTGAATCTCTTTCAGCCAAGTTCCTTCTCTGGGCTAGGCCTCAATTTCTCTTTCTTTCAAGTCAGAATAAGCCCTTGCTGTTCCTGACCTGAAGCTCAGGAGGTGAGGATGAACGTAGCTATGCATATTAAAGGACCAGGTGAGCGTCAGAAGGAAGGTTCTATTTACACGCAAGGTTAGAGAAAATCAAGTAAGAGAGAATAATGTTTCAGCTTAGGCCTCTCACCATTGCACCTTTACCAGCTCCTGTGTTTGCTGATCTGGTGAAGAGCTGTAAGTGATAAAAGCAGCTTGCGGAGGGTCAGAAGGGAGAATGCACATGGGATAGCAGGAAACCGTTGGAGGAAATGGTGAGTGCAGGAGTCCAGAGGCCGGGGCAGGAGGGGGAGTCCCGATCCTGGCAGTAGTAGGTTAATGGGGGCCTGCGGGGAAAGGAAAAAGGTCTTGATTTCCTTCCGTATCTACCATTCACTTTGCTCCATACATATATATTTACATATTTTAGTTAGGTAGATGTGAGCTAAGGAATATTTAACCAATGAATTGATCGATCCATCAATTAGTCAATAGTTATTGAGGGCCTACTATGTGCTAGGCACGATGCAAGAGTTTGGCTGTACAGGGATGAAAGCCCCAGTTCCTGCCATGGGAGAGCCCACAGCTTGGTGTGGCCACAGCGCACATGTTTATAGATAATTAAACACGGGGTGGTAAGACGTGGGCTCTGTGCAGGCAGAGGGCCTCCTGAGAAGGTGTAAGAAGGGGCGCCTGTCCAGATACGAAAGGCAGGATGTGGCGAAGGTCTTCTGGAGGAGGAGGGACCATCACTCGGAGGTTTGAAGGGTGTTTTGAAGGGTGAGTGGGACTGGCCTTGTGAACACATAGGGAAGAGGTGCCTGGGGGAGGAAGCGGCATAGGCAAGGCATGGAGAGGTGAGCGCCCACAGCAGAGGTGGGAAGTGGGACCAGACGCAAACACCCCTGGAGGCTGGGCCAGGACCAGGACCAGGAGAAGCGTCCAGATAAGGGTTTCATTCGGCAGGCAGTGGCGAGGCCTGGGGATCTCCAAATGAGGAATCAATGAGACCAGCTTTGCATTGTGGAGGAAGAATCAGAAGTGAGGCTATTATGGTAATCCAGGAGACGTGGACGAGGGCTGCCCAAAGTGGTAGCAAAGGAGAGAAAGGGACAGATTTGACAGGTCCCTGGGAGTTAGAGCTGACAGATGGTGGATATGGTGGGGAAGGTGGTAGGAGGGAGGGGCGGGGGACTTGGGGATGTCTTGCAGGTGTCCAGCTTGGGCAGCTGGTGGAAGGCGACACCCTTCACTGAGCTATAGATTTCTAGACTGAGATTGGGTTGAGGGGCGGGGGATGTGGTCTTTCTGGACGTGGTGAATTGAGGTGCACGTGGGATGATTTGTGGGTAGAGGTGAGGCCAACGCATATGGGGCGCTTGTGTTGTTGGCAGCAGCATCTCTGTGCTTTTACTCTGCTGTTTACTTCTGGTCCCATTGGTAGACAGAGGAGCTCCTTTTGGGATCTGGCAGAAGCTTGGTAAAGAAGCAAGAAAACCCACATATAGATTTTACATTTTTCAAGTGCTTCATGTTTTGAATTAAACATACCATCTTGAACATTTTGCTTGAGATTATTCTGAAAACATCCAGACATTCACCTTGCCTTAGGAGATCTCTGTTATTTTCCAATGGAAAAAGCATGGTTCCGGAAGGTTGAGTCATTCACAGACGATGACAGAGTAAGATCGGAATAAAGGCAGAATTAGAATTCAGCAAAGGAGAATGACCAGGTCTTTGTTCTGGGCATTAGCTTGTTCCCTTTCTTGGTGTGTTCACCCCATTTTCATTGTGGACACACTCAAAACAGTGTGGTTTGGTGAAACGAGCTCCACCCTGAGCTGAGAGATGGGGATTAAAATTTTGATGTCGCCCTTTAGAAATATAACATCTCGTTTGTCTAATTTTGTGTCCTGGAGTAGGGGCCAGTCTGTGCAATCCAGGCCTGCAGGTAGGATCTGGCCACTTGTGAGGTTTTGCTTGGTCCAGAGAGCCTTCAAGAAAAATCTGTATGATTCCCACGATGGGACATGGTGGGACGGTCCGTCTCCAGGGGGCCGCAGGTTCCATTCACTGTAGTCACACTTTGCTTCACACATTTATGGTGAAAGTATTTGAATTAAAATAAGAGCAGCCTAGTACCTAGTAGCTACTCAAGCAGGGTTCCTTCCCCCCGTCTTTGCAATATGTGGGGACAAAATGATTTAGCATCTCAGTGTCCAGTGCTTTGCATTCTGCAGGGACGCTTTGTCATGTGGTGGTCCCCGTTAAGCCCAGGAGATGTAGAAGTGGCTGGTGGCAAAACTTTTAGCCTCTTGCGCTTATACTGTGGGAACTTTAGAAAATAGGCCATTTGTCTTGAGCAGAGTTTGGAGAGAAAAATATCTAACTCCTTCAAGTCCACCCCCAGCCCCGCTGTGCTGCTGTGGAAGGTCACCAGGCTCACGTGGGGCTGGGGGTCTGCCGACGGGTCGAGGTATCCAGCTGGCATGGACGCAGGTCACACCGGCCCTCTCGAATGAGGGATTCTGGTAGTTCAGCCCCAAAGGGTCTCTTCAGCTGCAAAATTGCAATTCAATTTCAAGGGAAACAATGGGGCTACTCTCTTCTCTGGGTTGCTCCTGGGTGTCTCAGAGCAGCTAATCAAAATGGCTTGTACTGTGGTCTCTCTTGTGGAGGGGGAACAGTGGGCAGGGTAGGTATTCTTTCTTTCTTTCTTTATTTTGCGCGGGCCTCTCACTGTCGTGGCCTCTCCCGTTGCGGAGCACAGGCTCCGGACACGCAGGCTCAGCAGTTGTGGCTCACGGGCCCAGCTGCTCCGCGGCATGTGGGATCCTCCCAGACCAGGGCACGAACCCGTGTCCCCCGCATTGGCAGGCAGATTCTCAACCACTGCGCCACCAGGGAAAGCCCCAACGTAGGTATTTTTGAGCTCTAACCTTCTCAGAGCCGTACGGAGACGACAGGGTCTCTGTTCTTCCCGCGCCACGCCTCTGTGCCCAGCGCTTGTACGTGTTATCAGCTGTGCTCAGTACAGAATGTATTTATGTAACTGTGCTGCTGGTCTCAGGGAGCTCAGCAGTTCTCCCAGTTTATCTGGTGGCAACTTGTTTCCCTAGTAGGGGGTAGCGGGCAGGGCCCGGGGTCCTAAGAAGGGAAGTAATTTAACCACAGTGATGTGTGGTTAGGACCAAAACAGACCAGTTGACGTCGCCCGGGGCTGTGCTGGTGGCACCCTCTATGCCTGACTCTGCATGCTGGGAGATGGGGTGGGGGGGCGGATTGCTGAGCCCATTCCTCTCCAAGGCTGCCTCTGAGTCTGGGATAGAGGCAGGGAATCCCCACTGCTCCTGCCTTTCTACCTCGCTGCCCCCTAAGTGTCACTGTAGAGACTTCCCACTGACCTGTACTTATCAGATGTCAAAGTGGCTTCTGGTTCTGTGGTCAGATGAGAAGATCCAAGAAAGGTGCACATACTCGAGCTGCCGACTGTGTGTGCAGTGTCGAATTGGACAGTGGGTCTGGGCTGTGGCTGGACCCTGGGCTGGGTGCCGGGGGCAGTGGGGGAGGGCAAGCTTTGCTAAACCCAGGCCCGATTTCACGAGGAGGTCGCTGCTGTTCATTCTAACCTCCTCATTCCTTCTTTTAGGACTCGATACTAGCAAGACCCAATGCTTCGCGGCAAATACTTCAAAACAAATGAATTAAGTATTTTTTAAAACCTGTAATTATACGTGTGGCTGCCCTTATTAGGCGAAATGGTATATTCTTGGCATCTAGGATTGGGGATGCAATAGAAGTTCTTTAATTTGAAGATGCCCATGTTCGGAGTGTTCCAGAGAGCTCGAGTGTAAAGCTTGAGGAATATCATGTGGCCAGAGAGAGAAAAGTAACTCCTAAAAATATCAAGCAACATTTCCCCAGCACATATTGTTTTGAAACAATGGCATTTATATTTGCAAATTTTAAAAAATCTTTAGGCCTGGAAGAGTTTTTCCCAGCTAACAAATTTTGCACGTAGCCTTGTCCACGTTCCAGACGTGAGCCAGCCCCAGGAACTTTTGTGTCAACATAGCAGCCGTATAGCTAGAAACTCTCTGCAGATTCAAGCTGCCAAGAATGTATTTGTAATATACGATTTATTGACTTGTATTTTTAGCATTTACCTCTAATATTTCCCCTTAATTGCAAGCTTCTTGAAAGCAGGCAACTGTCTCATACCTATTTGCAGTTCTGTTTGCCTCCAATAATAGGGTGGCTTCGTTTTTTTCTTGATTTCCTGAGCTTAAAAAGAGGGGTGCTAGAATGGTCGGACGGTAGAGGGCATCACACGTAATGAAACCACTGCGAGTCCACAGGAAGTGGGAAGTAGCGTCACAGGGAAGTCAGCACGCAGTGGTGGCAGTCTTCTATTTAATCGCCATTGCTCAGTGGTTGTGAATAAAGCATCTACTGAGTTGGAGTCTTGATCACAGACTTACTGTATTGCCTGGGAGGACATAGGAACTGCTGTTACTTCCTTTCTGAAATGAAGACCCCATTAAACTTGGCTGCCTTCCTGTGGTCTTAGGCCAGAAGGTTCTGAGGTTTCACAAAAGTGAAAAAAGAAAAAAGATGACATCAAAGGGAAATTCAAGGAAATAAAGAGATTTTTATTCAGGAGACAAATGATTGCCCCTTGGTAGTTAGTTGCCTGCTTTTATGTTCCCCCTTTCCCCCTATTCCTTGCATCTTGTGTGACGAAGATCTTAA